TAACAAATGAAAATATTTAATTCATTCCTTTGAAACACAAAAACAGAACAAAACAAATTAATCTTTTAAAATGTCCAGTGTACAGTAAAAATCATTTATTGTTGTTATGACCTTAAGAAATTAACCTTATATAATTTTCATCATTAGATAAGTGTCGGCCTAAGGATGCATGTAATCTAACAATTTCTCATTGTTTCTCATACTACTACTACTACTATTCATTTTCTTGCTCTTTTGTTTTTACAATTATTAAATGTAAAAATTTTTTATTGAATTGACCTATATTTGAGAATAACACTAATTATATATATGTATGTATAGGATACCTGATCAAAATACCAAACAAAGGCGATCTCAGCAAGTGTGTGAAAACTACAGAGGCACCACTCTTCTTTCAATACCAGGCAAAGCCTTCAACCGGGTATTGTTAAACAGAATGTAAGACTGTATAGACGCCCAACTTCGAGATCAAGAGGCTGGATTTCGTAAGGATTGATCGTGTACACTGACCAAATTGCTACATTACGGATCATTGTGAAACAATTAATCAATTGAATGGAAATCACCACTCTACATCAACTTTATCGACTACGAAAAGGCATTCGATAGCGTGGATAGGAAAACACTCTGGAGGCTTCTTCGGCACTACGGTGTGCCTGAGAAAATAGTTAACATCATACGGAATTCTTATGGATTCAACTGCAAAACCGTGCACAGAGCACAGCTGACCGACAAGTTCGTGGTGAAGACCGGTATCAGGCAAGTATGCTAACTCTCACCCTTTCTCTTTCTCCTGGTGATCGACTGGATTATGAAGACGTCGACATCTGGAGGACAACACGGTATCAACTGGACAGTTAGGACGCAGCTGGATGATCTGGACTTCGCAGATGACCTGGCTCTTCTATCGCACACGCAACAACAAATGCAAGAGAAGACGACCAGTGTAGCAGCAGCCTCAACAGCAGCAGTAGGTCTCAAAATGCATAAAGGAAAAAGCAAAATTCTCCGATGCAACACAACATGCACAAACCAAATCACTCTTGATGGAGATGCTTCGGAGGACGTTAACACCTTTACATATCTGGGCAGCATCATCAACGAGAAAGGTGGATCCGATGCAGATGTGAGGGCGCGGATTGGCAAAGCAACGGCTGCATTTCTACAGTTGAAAAATATCTACAACTCCAAACAACTTTCAAACAAAACCAAAATCAGGATTTTCATTACAAATGTCAAGACAGTTCTGTTGTATGGAGCGGAAACTTGGAGAACTACGAAAGCCATCATCCAGAAGATACAAGTGTTTATTAACAGTTGTCTACGCAAAATACTTCGTATTCGTTGGCCAGACACCATCAGCAACAACGTACTGTGGGAGAGAACAAACCAGATTCCAGTGGAGAAGGAAATCAGGGAGAAGCGGTGGAAGTGGATAGGACACACACTATGAAAAGCACCTAACTGCGTCACAAGACAAGCCCTCACTTCGAATACTCAAGGTCAAAGGAAAAGAAGAAGACCGAGAAATGGAGACAGACATGTATAGAATGAACAACAATTGGACAGAACTAGAAAGGAAGGTCCAGAACAGAGTAAGTTCAAGAATCCTGGTAGGCAGCCTATACTCCATAGGGGGTAACAAGCGTAAGTAAGTCAATAATGTTAAAAAAGTTGATGTTACTATTCAAAAAATAACACTTATCAACATAGTTTCACAAACAAATCAATTACTAAAAAAAATTATCCTTACCTGACTACCACGACGTATTAAACCTGGTGTCACTGAAGCATAATTATTGGAATTTTTCCCAATCGAAGATGATGGACTTAATGAAGAAGGAGCAATAGGTAAAGGAGCAATAGGAGGTGGAGGAGATGAACACACAGCACCATTTGATAATGTTGAATCTAATGATTTTTTAAAATATTCCGATTGACGTCGTCGAAATGTTGATGTACCAGAATTAACTATGGTATTTATGTAACCAATATCATTATTATTATTATTATTGTCAAATGTAGAAGATTGTGTTGCATCAGATAAACTACTCATATTATTATTAGTAGTAGTATTATGAGTATTTCCATTCGATGGTAGCGTAGCAATAGCAGTAACAGAAGTAGTGGATGGATACATTGATGATTGTATAATTGAAGGAGAATTGATCTCTGACATTCTATAATCACTACTATGGACAGAATCTAATGTTGTTATTGGTGGCCAAATGAAATGTGAAGAGGATTGTGATAAATCTGATTTGTTGATTTATTTTGAATAAAAAAAACAGTAATATTATTATGAGTAAAAGTTTAAGTATACGATAGGTTTTAAACAAAGAATATGAAATATTTACATCTAATATGTGTTATATTCCAT